TTTTTTTTTTTTTTTTTTTGCTATAGGGCACGTGCACTCGCCAGACAGACAGAGAGAGACAGAAAGCAAGAAATCACCCCCCAGGGGGGATGGCCACACCGCAATCCCTTCTCCTCCATTCTACTCTCGGGATCTTGGGCACTCACGCACACGTGCCCAGTGTGTTTTAAGCCATCGGGTCCGGGACTTGAACCGCAGTCGACTACATGGGAGTCCAGCAACATAGCCATTACACTAACTGCTGGTCCCAACTAAATAAACTTTTTAAAATAGGGAGAAAACAAACATTAGTGCCTTGAATGTTTGGTACAACTGATCCTGGAGCTTTTTTGGTTGGGAGTTGTTTTTTTTTAAACTGATCAATTTCTTTGATGGATACAAAATTATTCAGATCTTCTAAGTCTTTCCTAAGGTTTTCCTTTTCTTTCTTTTTCTTTCTTTCTTTTTTTTTTTTTTGACATAATGTTGTTTCCTGTGTTTTTATTCACTTGTTTTACTGCTACTTTTTACTGAGTTATAATCTACATATTGTAAAATCCACACTTTTTAAAAATTATTTTTTATTTAGAGGTTCTTGCTGTGCTGCTTGTGTAGGCCTTGAACTCATGATCCTCCTGCCTCATCCTCCTGAGTAACTGCGATTACAGACCTGTGCCACTGTGTCTGGCAACATTTACCATTTTAAAGTATATAACCAGGGGCTGGCAAGTGGCGTGGTGGTTAAGGTGCTGGACTCCCACATGGGTGACTATAGTTCAAGTCCCGGAACAGGCCGCTTGCTTTCTCACTTTTCCGCTTTCTTGCTCTCTGTCTGTCTCTTTTGGTCAAATTAAAATAATAATAAAAAGTAATTCTTTTAAAAGTGTATAATCAATGAGTGGTCAATAGATGGTGTAGGAGTTATGTTGCTGGATTCCCACATAGGAGACTGCAGTTCAAGTCCCAGACCTGGTGGCTTGAAAATCACGCCAGGCATGTGTGCATATGTGCCCAAGATCCTGGGAGGAGAATGGAGGAGAAGGGATTACAGCATGGCCACTTCCTCAGGAGGGAGTGGTTTCTCACTTTCCCTCTCATCATCTTTGTCTCTCTCTCTTTCTAGCAAGCACACACGCCCCAAGGCAAAAACCTCTAAAAATAAAAAGTATGTAATCCATGATATTTCATGTCTTCACAGGGTTATGGTTACATAACCATCATCACTGTCTAATTTCAGATGAAACTCTGACAGTTACTCCAAATTTGCCCAGCCCCTGGCAACTGCCTTTATGAATTTGCATATTCTGAAATCATACAAAATGTGGCCTTTTGTGTCTGGCTTCTTTCATTTAGCATAATGTTTTCAAGATTCCTTCACAATAGAGCATGTATCAGAACTTCGTTTCTTTTTATGGCCAAGTAATATTCCATTGTATGGATATACCAGACTATTTTTCTTTTTTTGTCATGTACACACATGTACACATGCCCAGTATGATTTTCAAGCTGCTGGTTCCAGGACTCAAACTGTGGTCAGCCATGTGGGAATCCAGTACCTTAACCACTACTGGCGCTATACAGCACATTTATTTATCCATTTATCAGTGATGGACATTTAGGTGTTTCTACTTTTAATCATTATGAATAATGCTGCTACGAACATATATGTATACATTTTTGTGTGAACATATTTTTTTATCTCTCCCTCTTTTTTATGGAGAGGTTTTTGCTACAGGGCATGTGTGCTAGTCAGAGAGACAGAGAGAGACAGAGAGACAGAAAGCGAGAAATCACCCCCCAGCGGGGATGGCCATGCTGCAATCCCTTCTCCTCCACTCTTCTCTCGGGATCTTGGGCACACACGCACACATGCTCGGCATGAGTATAAACCACTGGATCTGGGACTCGAACCGCGGTCGACTACGTGGGAGTTCAGCAACATAGCCATTACGCTAACTGCTGGTCCGTTTTTATCCCTCTTGACCATATATCTGGGACTGGAATTGCCAGGTCATATGGTGAGTTTATGTTTAACCTATTTAGGAACTGCCAAACTGTAGTGAAAAACAGCTGAACCCTTTTATATTTCCACTACAAGTGAAAGGATGATTTCCTTGGCAAACTAGTTCAGCCAGTCTTCTGGGTGTCGTTCTGAGAGACTCAGCCTCAGTTTACTCCTCCTAGCTCTTCCAAAATTTTTGAGAACATCTACCTACCTGTATCGAATCTCCTTTTAGTTAAAATAGCTTGAGCAGTTCCTGTTTTCTGAAAAATATTTTGACTAATGAGGAAGAATTAGAATTACTTTTAAAAATCGGGACCGGCAGTTAGCATAATGGCTATGTCACTGGACTCCCATGTAGTTAACCGCGGTTCACGTCCCAGACCCGGTGGCTTAAAACTCACACCAGGTGCGTGTGCGTGTGTGCCCAAGATCCCTAGAGGAGAATGGAGGAGAAGGGATTCTGGCGTGGCCATCCCCCCTGGGGGGTTATTTCTCACTTTCTGTCTCTCTGTCTCACTCTGTCTGGTGAGCGCACGCGCCCTATGGCAAAACCCTCTTCAAAAAAAATTAATTAATTAAAAAAATTTTTAAAAATTATTCACTATTACAAATATAATACTCAAATGTTATACTGAGAAAAAATTCTAGAAATGTTTAAAATAGCACATAAAGAATAATTTAAATAAGTCAAAGCGTTAAAGAAATTTAAATGTTAAGTGATTGAATCCAACAGTATCTCTGAAAAAATATATTATGAACAAATGGGGCTTATCCGAGAAATGAAATAAAAATTTTCCCTATGTGATTTACCACGCTCTCATTAGGTACATTAAAAACATATTAAAAAGCTTAATATGTAAATGTAACTTTTTAGAAAAGCTCTTAGTTAAAACTAGAGGAGAAACATCTTTAGTTTGAAATAGACTTTTAAATATTTAAAACAACATATTAGGTTGTCAGAAAAGTCTTGACGTATTTCTCTGTTTTTCTATGAAAAAAAATTTGTCATGACTTTCCAGACAACCCAATATTTAATGGAAAAATCTTTGTGTATATTTCCTTTAAGATTAAAATGAGACAAGGTGGGCCAGCCAGTGGTATGGTGAAGGTGGCTGGATCTCACATGGCCAACTATGTGGCTCGAGTCCTGGACCCAGCAGTTTGAGAAACCTACCTAGTATTGTATGTGTGTGCTTCCAAAACCCCAAGAGGAGAATGGAGGAGAAAAGATTGTGGCGGTGGTCAACCTCCTTGGGGGTACTTTCACTCACTCTCACTCTCTTTCCAGCAAGTGCATGCACTCAATAGCATAATTTAAAACAAACAAAAAATAAAACAAGTAGAACCCATTAATATGGCTACTATTCACATACTAGAATCCCTGCTAGTGCCATAGGAAAATAATAGATGTAAAAGTCGGACAGGAAGGAAACCAGCCAGCAGTGTGGCAGTGAAATGCGTTGTTCTGCAAGGCTGACTCACATGGCAAAGTCCTGGGTTCACATCTAGAGACCTTCCGGCGAACACAGGTGCCACAGTTTGGGACAAGCTGAAGCTGTGGGTGGAATTCAGCATCAAGACCCTGTTGGGGGCACTGTCTCTCTCACTCATGGAAAAAATAAACTGAGTAAAAATACTTGGAAGGAAAAACAGATGAGCCAAAAAAATAAATTAAAAAAAAAGGAGGGACTGGCCAGTGATGTGGTCAAGACAGCTGGACACCACATGGCTGATAGCACAGTTCAAGTCCTGGACCTGACACCTTGAAAAATGAGCCAGGTGAGTGTGTATACATGCCCAAAATCCATAAAGGGAATGAAGGAAAAGAGATTGCAGGGTGCTTTCTCACATTTCCTCTCTGTCTCTCTCCTGTGAACACATGCATCTATACCAAATTAAAAATAGAAAACGAAGCAAACAATCAGGAGAATGCAGGAAGGGTCTCAAAAGCAAGATCGGCAAACATAAACCAAAGCTCTCTTGTTCACCAGCAATAGCAGAGAATGTGAAAGAAAATGTTTAAAATAACAATGAAACTATAACATTCAGATTTACCTGATGAGTGTATTAGCTTCATGCAGAGAAAAATGTTAAAACTATTAAAAGACATAAAAGATAACAACAGATGGAGATATATATTATTATTTGGAAAGATTCATTTGGTATTATAAAGATGTTAATTCTCTGCCCTCCTCCCCCCAGTTCATCTTTACATTTAAAACAGTTCCAGACTGAAGTTCAGCAGCATTTTGGGAGAGAACTTCACAAATTAATTTCTACATTTTACACAGAAAAATAAAATTCCTTGAATTACCAAGATAGGTTTTTATTTTCAAAATTATTTAATTTTATTTATTATCATTATTTTAAAATATGCTATAGGGCACATGTGCTCACCAGAGAAAGAAAGAATGTGAAAATGCAAGCCACTAGGTCTGGAACTTGAACTGCAGTTGGCTATATGGGAGTCTAGCACCTTAACCACCATGTCACCTGCTGGCCCCTACTAAGATAATTATGTCATGCTAGATATTAATACTTATTACAAATTCTAGTGATTAAAATAGTATAGTCCTGGCTCAGGAATAGTCAAAACAAACAAACAAAAAAACAAAATGGAAAATTCAGCAATGGACTTGTATTTATATAGGAAACTAGTAAATTATTGAGGTTTTATAATAGTTCACTATGGGAAAAATGAATTACATCACTGATGGTATTGAGAAAAATTGAGTCAGCGTAGAAAGAAAAATAATTTCTTACCTCACAGTGTATAAAAATAAATCCCAAATGGGCTACAGATTTGAATGTGCAAGAGCGCTCTTCCACACTAATAAAAATGTAGAAAAATATCTTCCCATCCTTGTGGTGGAGGGTGATCTCTTAAACAAGACTTTAAAAGGTTCAAACCAAAAGCAGCAAAACTCTTATTTTGACTTGGTCAAACTTAAAGATGTTGGTCTTAGAAAGACAATATAGTCTCACCAAAAAAAGAAAAAAAGAGGTAGTCAACAGGAGGGAAAACGCAACCTGTTGGCCTAGACATGGTGGCGCAAACAGTAAGGTGCTTCTCTGTGATACTGGAGCCATATGGAAAGCCCTGGTTTGAATTCTGGGTTGACTGTAACACACTAGGCATGCCCATTGGAACGTTCCAGCTGGCTGGAAGGCAGGGGGGAGGACTGCAGCATGACAAGACCCTGTCTGGTGTCCTCCCTCCTCTCTTGAAAGAAACAAACAAAAAAATTCAACATCTGAAACCAGTATCTGAAATATACACAAACTCTCATGAAAAAGACCAATTAAGTAATAAATGGAATGAAGAATGGATATACACAGCATAGAAGGAGAACCCCAAGTGGTTAATGCAGATATGAAGAGATGCACAACCCTGTTAGTACTTAGGGAATGACTGATTAAAATGCACGCTGAGGCTTAA